CCTTTGAGGATCAATAAATAGATGGGCCTTTTTTGAAGCAGCGGTTTCCTGGGTTCCGCTACTGAACGCCGGACGGCAGCAGTGCAGTTTGGCCAGCCCAGATGTGCCACCTCCTTATTTCGGAATGGCTCTACGAGTTTCACCCTGAGGCCCATATTTTATTCATTCTTACTTTTGGCCACCTCTGAGGGTTGAATGCCATTTTTGCAGTTTTTTCCAGAATTAGACATTGTTTAGCAGGAAGGATGCCAGGGCAGCAGCGGACATGACGATGTCAGCTCCACACAAGGCAGCTCCGCAAAGAGGCTGAAATGGTCTTTGCTCTGCTTTAATAACTGTGTAAGAAAGATGCAGACAGCTGGGAAGGGTTCAGAGGAGGACAGCAGGGATGATGCGGGGACTGGAAGCAAAGCGCCGTGAGGAGAGAGGGAAAGGACTGGGCTTAGAGGAGAAAAGTGGGCAGAGATACGAGAGCACGCAAGTGGGGTGTCCTCCGCTGAGCAGGAGATCGGACCGGAGGGCCCTCTGGCTCCTTCCGGCTCTGCTGTCCTGTGATTCTGAGCTCCTGAAGGGCTGCCACACTGAGGACAGCCAAGGTCTCTTCTCGGTCATCCCAGAGCGCAGGACACGGAATAACGGGCTCGAGTTGCAGGAAGTCAGATTCCAGGAGGACACCAGGAGGCATTTCCTGACGACAGTGGAACCAGTGACCTGAGGAGGTTGCACTAGAGGCGTTCGGAAGGCCATTCGGCAGCCAGCCATCCGTCAGGGGTGCTTTAATCTAGAGTCCTGCATGGAGGCGGGGGTGGGGCCGGATGGCCCCCTGGCCCCTTCGACTCCGCTGCGCACGAGGCCTGTCCACCGGCCGCTGGTCTGCTGCCCCACGCACCAGTGGGACAAGCAAGGGGAACACGAGCCAAACCGATCCATTCTAGGCCCGCAGCATGAAATGCGGTGATTCTGTGCTTTCTTTGGAAGGGCCGGCGGGGTCTTTGTGTTGCCCGCTCCCGGTAAAGGCCTGCTGAAGCACGTTCGGGAAAGGTGAGGGGCCAGTGGTGTGAAACACCATTTGAGAGTTGGCTGGAGACCCGAGGAGGGCTGTAATGGCATCTGTTCCTCACTTCACTGCAGGACTGCCCTGTAGAAGATGCCACAGCCTTATTTCCTGTTATGCAGTATTTTACTGATTTTGAAATTTAGGTTTAGCAAGGGAAGGGAGCAACACTAGCACATCAATTAGCTAATTGGAAACTATGCCAATGTTTCCTGTTTATATCAATAAATATGGACTATGATGCATCAGGATTTACTAACTGCTCCAAAATTATTTCAACTACTACTATCATTGCTCAACCACAACATAAGATCTCCTTCCTTGACTAGCTCTGAGCTAATTTAATTCTTTTTTTCTGCGGCCAGAAAGGGCAAGACTAAATCTACTGGGCTTGAGTTACAAGAGGGTCAGTATTAATTGAACATGAGGAGAAAGGACATTTCAACCATAGTCTAATTTTCTAGAGCTTTAGTGGGCTGCCCGCCTTGCTGGAGGCCTTCAGGAAGTGGCTGGACAGCCGTTCAATTGGGCAGGGTACCCACGGATGTCCGGCATGGGCCAGGGGCTTGCTCTGGCTGGTCTGTGAACCCCGCTCTGGCTGCAGGACTCTGCCCTTGATCATTGTGCTGGTGAGCTTCCTCTGTTGCACGGGTCGAGTACGGTCGAAGAGGTTCTTGGGTTTTCTTCCCAAAAGACATGTACAGAGAATGTGTTAAAATCCCACATCAGGGAAGGGGAATAGAATAATATGCTAAACCTGCGAAGGTTGGAGTGTGCAGACACGTAAAGTTCATAGTGGCACTAGATACACTGAGATGCCCAGAGAAGCTCATTTTAATTTCTGCAAGGAGTGGGTGCCGGGGTGGCACCTCAGGGAGCGTTGCTTGGACTCCTAGCTGGGGTGGGCCTGTGTAGCCACAGCCAGTCACAGAGAAAGGGTAGCTGCAGAGCAGCGTCAGCCTCGCAGAGATTAACTCGCTTGTCAAGTGGCGAGAAACTGCTGATCTCTGGAGAGGACGAGGGGAGAGGAGAGGGGGCTGCTCTTCAGATCAGAAGGTGTGAGGGAAAGATTCCTCCCTCCCTCTTCCTAAAACCCACGGGTGCTTTTTCCCCTCTATCCGTGCCCTCCGGGTCCCACATCAAGATAAAACGTGCCCTTCCTCTGAGGTAGTTCATGCGATGCTGGTGAATGGATTTGTGTGTGTCCATCATTGGGGGAAGGAAGACGAGCACCGACCACCACGGCTGCCTTCCTTTCTCCTTTGCGATGTGAGGAATGGACTGGCCAGCAGTTTGCAGAATGCCCCTGGCTACTGCAGATCCGTTTGGGTACTTGCATTAAACAGGTGACGGAAGAATCAGGTAGGCCCGTCCACTCGGACAATATCGCATTTTCAGGCTCTCGCGGCTTTTAGAAAGGTGTTGAGCTGCTAATTTTCCCCTCCTTCCGGTTCACTTGAGCAGGGAGGCTCGAAAGCAGCACAGGGATGCCCTCCGGCAAGATTGGAGATGTGCCAGCATTGGCCCGGGCAGCCTGGGCGCCACGCCTGGCCAGAAGGCTGTTTGCAAGAAGCCTGCAGCTTCCCTCCAGCTATGCAAAGCTCCAGTTTTGTAGCACATGTAGCACATTACCAGTACTACCATGACTGTAAACACTCAGGCCAGAATGGGCCCTGTTGGGGAGACCTGAATTCGGGAAGAAGGACCTAGTATCCCCAGCTCGCTTGCATGAGGGAAGAACGGAAATGCCGGAATTCTTGCGGACCGAAGGTCAGGTATTTCCCCCCTCGATGAGATCAGGCAAAACAACCCTGAAGGCAGGTGAAGGAACCCTTTTCCTGAGAAACCCGCAAATTACCTCATCTGTAGCACCTCGCAAACATGGACCAGGAAGGCAGTAGGGAAGGCCACCGGGAAGCCATCCGGCCCATTCCAGCAGCCGGCACAAGCGCGGGCAGCGCATCTTTCCTGCAAGCCGCGGTATAAATGCCAAGGCCTGAAAAGGGGCTCTCTTCCCGCTCCCTCCACACGAGTTCTAGATGCACAAGGCTCACAGCTTGCAGGACAGGTAATGCCCCTGCTTTCTCGGTAGTTCCTCCATGTGTTCAGTAGGAAGTGCTTTCTCTTACAGGCTGGACATGCACAGGGCGGGCATGTCGTGAGCGGAGCCGGCTGGAGCCGGGGGTCAGACTTGATGGCCCAGGAGGCCCCTTTTGACTCGCTCTGTTTCTGTTTCTATGTTTTTTTTCAGAAATGCAGAGTAAGATTGAGGTCCCTGGTCACGTGACAGTTGCCTTCTGGAGCCTCAATGTACACGTCAAAGCCGTTGCTCCCAAGTGCAATGAAATTCCGGCGGCAGTGGCCGCTCTAGCTGGGAGGGTCTGCATCCCAGGCAGGGCCGGTGCATTGTTGGTCCTCCCTTTGGGCCCACGGCGGTGATATCTATGAGCATTTAATTCCCAGGAACCCATTATGCTTTCACTAGGATCCCCATATTTGTCAGCTGAATGTGGAGCAGTTGAGCCGCAGAGCACTGGGGCATGCGCTGTCCCGTGTGCAGGACATTCTGGCCCACAAAGGTACCGTTTGTGAGGTCCCAGGGATCATGCAGAAGACGGGTTAAGGCCAGTGGACAGAAAGGACGGCTGGTCCCTAGGACTGCAGCAAGGAGCGGAAGGCAAGACTCAGGCACCCACGGGTAGAAACCACTTGAAGGGTACCGGGACCTGCCCGCAGGCCTGGGCGCATTCGGTTTTCCCGGGACATCATTGCCAGGGCTCTGAAAAGGCCAAGCCTCGGCCAAAACATGTTGTTGGGAGACAGGCAGGCAGTGGGAATGGGGGCTGGCACGGCGGGGGGCTTTCTTTAATTTGAAGCGAGGTCTTGCCCCTGCCCCCACACACGCAGACTTAAGGGCAAGCTTTCTGGTTCAACCTGCAGTCTCAGAGAGCTGCACAGGGGTTGCAAGAACAGGCAGTAGCAACACACACGACTGCACATTACCAGATGAGGAGGAGCAGAGCATCCGTCCAAAGCAGTCCAAGCAGGACAAAGAATGCTTCCCCCGCTTGCAAGGAGAAAGCATTTTGGTTACTGCAAGGGCTGCCACACGTTGGTCAATCCTATTAAGGGGAACAAATGAAATGGGGCCCCAGATATTCATGCAGCAGATTTTAATTAGCTGGTTGTGTTAGGCATTTGCAGAGGCCTCAGCCGGCGGTGGCAGGAGGGCTTCCTCTTCCTCACCCACCAGGCACGCCTCCTTGAAGCTGCTTCCCGCTGTGATGCCTCCTTGGGTCCTCGCAAGCCATTTTATGTGGAATTAATTTTGCTTGTATGCTAATTCGTTTTGCTTAAATTGCTTCCTACAAGCAACGGAGCTTTGCTCTGATCGGCTGGCCCCCACGGTGCTTTCTCTCGCACAGGGCCAGCTTGGTCTGGACTCTCGGTGGGCTGGCTGGGAAATGGGCAAGTGCGAGAGGACTTTCCGAGGCGTTCCTTCCGTCACGGCGGGTGAAGGCTGGCCTGAGTTGGTGGTGCAGCTCCTACATCCCATCCCTTTGGACTCTTCTCAGCTGCTGGGTGAGCAGCAGGTCCCAGCCGGCTTCATGGCAACAGGGCTGGGGCAGACTAGCCACCTGCCGGTCTTCCCTGCCTGGGCTCTTGCAGGCCTGGGCTGTGCTCTCTGAAGGAAGGCGTGTGCTTCTGGGGCAGCCGTAGCAGGAAGGCCGGCGGCTTCCTGGAGCTTTTTTGGAGGCGTTCTGCAACCAGCAATTGCACTGTACTGTCGTTGAAGTAATAAAGGTTGCCTAAGCGACGGTGTCTCACTGAGTGGATTTTCTTCTCCATCTGGCGGACTTTGAATTTTGTTGCTTTCTTTTCAATATGCTGATGATCTTTTCTTTGTCTCATAGCATTGAACAGATGGGTTGATTATTCTTTTCAGATATTAATAAAGCCACGGAAAGAAGAAATATGAATAAGTCTTCTTCAAGGTCCAGCCCAGCTCGAAGGTAAAGTACCATGAAGCAACGTTCCCCTAGGAAATTGGGCTTCGGGCAGAAACGCAGCTTCCTCTGCTAATCTTCCGTGGAAGCGAATCCAAAGGGGATTCCTTGCTGGCTGCGGCCTCTCAGCCCGTCTTCACTGCTGTGCTCCTCGTGAGCTCAGCGCCGTCGAGGGAGCAGCAGCCCTTTTCACTCCAACGCGTCCCTCAGGAGTGCCGCGGAGTTGGGAGCATCCTCGGGCTCTACCACAGCGAGAAGGACGCAACCTGTGTTGCGCCGAAGGACACAGGCTGCTGCATGCTTTTCTCGCGCACACGGACCTTTTCTGCGCGGCTTCATTGCCCTGAAGACAGGCACGGCATCTGCTTTTCGAAAACGGGGACCCTGCGGTCCTCTCGGTGCCGCATCGGTGCGTGTGCCCATCGCACCCGGATCCTTCTCTTGCTGCTAGGAGGACATTCTGGACAGGTCCCCTACCTGGCTGCCACTTCTGCGGTGTCCGGAGCTGAGAGAACGGCTGGGTGCCAGTCGCCCAAGCGCAAGCAGGTGCTGGGGCATCATTCCTGATGCAGTGGCCACAGCGCATGCGGAAGCTGAGTCAGTGCACTGCTGTGAAGAGCGCGTGCGGCTGTCCAGGCGTCGCACTGGCCTGGGTGCCGTGGGCAGAACACACATGGGGGGAAGTGGGGGGAGGTGGCCACCTCCCGCCTGAGCTCTTGCACACAGTGCGTGCAGCCCTGTTGAGTGCGGCTGTGGGCTTTCGTTCCTCTTCATCTAGAAGCTGTGGCCCGCCCGCCTGGGCGTGCGCAGCGCTCCTTTCTCCCCTCCCATCTGTCCACATTGCTTGGTCTTCTCTTCTGGCACATGTCCAGGAGCCTTTCTGATTCGGCAGATTTTCTTGGATTCCCCTGTAAATTCCATTATTCAACTGAAATTCATTCCAGGCTTCACTTGTATGAGGTCAAAAGCTACCTGGAAAGCGGTGTTACCTACACTCACGAAGGAGAGCTAGACGTTAATATGCAGAACCGTCTAGCGCCACCCGACTGCTCTGCAGTGGTCAGAGTTGAGCCAAGAGTTCTTCCGTCTCGCTGTTCTCACTCAGTGTCTGCCGCCTGGCGGAAGGTCAAGTCTGCTTGGCCCCGTGAGCGGACCCTGCGCCCGAGGGTGCCGATCTGCTGACCGTGCTCCATCAGGGCAGGTTGGGCTCGGCAGCCAGACTGTCCCTGCAGCTGTCTTGTGCCCTGCGCTTTTCTGGGTGTTCTGGAAAGTGGGGAGCTGTCCTCCTTCTTGGCACTTGCGGCCTTCCTGTCGTCCGGGAGATGCGATGGGTCGTGGGGGTGGCATTGCGAGCGAAACCGCAGCCTGCTCCGAAAGAGGAGCTCCACTCGGGCTCCGGTGCCAGCGCAACTCTTCCTCCAGGTCAGGGCCGGTCTTGAAATTGTGCGTGCCGTGGGGAAATCCCAGGGGAGCCTGCGTGAGCTGATGGGTGCCAGGCCTGCCTGCTGGTGTGCGTGGCGGAGCCCCGGCCGCTGCAGGCCCGCTTCTGACCGGCACACGACACACACACGCCGGGCGCTCTGTTCACGTGGGAGGGGACCGGGCGCATCTGACTAAGGCCTCATTTTCACGGGGCTACTGAAACAGTGTCGGGCTGAACCCCTCCAGGCTGTAGATGGGGTGCTTGTGTGACTGGGTGACCCCCACAGACGTCTTCCACAGGAGTAGAAGCCACACGCCGGGAAGAACGGTTCCAGCTCGGCCCACTCCCCAACCCCAACCCCAGCCCCCTCCCCGACACACGGGCTTGCTCTGTCGAGAGGACTCCTTTGCGTGGAGGAGCCCCGGTGCCCCCGAGCGCCCCCCACAGCCCAGTCAGAGGTTTGGCTCCGTGGCGACAGCGATGCGCGTATCACGGTGCCTCCTGAAGCACAGGTGCACACACCTCCACTCGGCTCGGGGCACTTCTAGGTGTTGGTGGGCCGGCGCTTTCGTGCAGTGCCGCTGCCATCGCCTGTCTCAAGGCCGTTTCCTTGTGCTTTGTAGAGAGCAGCTGCCGTATGGCGAGAGAGACGCCCGGCGTGATCGCTCTCCTAACCAGGGAAGTCCACGGAGAGAGACGAGGGATGGCAGGAACGGCAGAGATTCCAGAGATGCTCGGGACCTTCGGGTGAGAGATGTGCGGGCTGCTCGGGACCACCGGGATCCCAGAGACTTCCGAGACACCCGGGACCTGAGGGACCCCCGGGATTTGCGGGACCCCCGGGAACCGCTCTACGAGCGCTACAAGGAGACCCGAGAAACTTCCTACAGGTATGCAGGGGTGGCTGGAGCATCATGGGGCTGCTGGCCGAGCCTGTGGGGGGGGCACGTGGCCAGTGCGGGGTGGTGAGTCCAGAGACGAGGCTGTCCCCTGTCTGCCGGGCAGGCGAGAGGAGGGCTATGACCGCTACGTGCGCTCCGACGACTATTACCGAAGGCGGGATGAGTCGTACTACGACCGTTACCGAGATTCCTTGGATAGTAGGCCCAGCCTGAGCACTGAAGGTCAGTATTCGGCGGGCGCATCTCGGGCTGGTGCGTGGGCGTGGGTCCCAGGCAGAGCAGGGGGCAAGCCCTGAGTTCGGTGGCTTCTCCCACAGAGCGGATGAAGCGTGAGGAGCGGCGCCGGGAGGAGCTGTACCGCCAGTACTTCGAGGACATCAAGAGGCGCATCGACTCGGAGCGCCCTGTGGACTGCTCCGTGATCGTGGTCCACAAGCAGGCCAAGTAAGGCTCGGCCGGCCCTCGGCCGGAGGGGCAACCGGGTGTGGGAGGGGGCGCTGCAGGCCGGGAGGGGCGCGCGTCCCGCCAGCGCCTTGGCTCCGGAGCGGCTCTGTGCCCTCCGGGCTTCTCCAGCACGAGCCTGCGTGAGGCCGGGCTGGCTCCCACTGAGGCGCTGCCTGGAGGAGCTGCGGCCGGCACCCCGGCGCCCCGGCGGTGGCAGGCAGGCAGGCAGGCAGGCACGGTCCCGCCCGCGGCCCCGCGGCGCCTGCCCTCAATGCCGCCCGGCTGCCGTGCCCTGCAGAATCGCCGCCTGGGCGGCCACGCGGCCCCCTCCCCGCTGCTGGCGCCTGGTGTCCCGTCGGCGGCTGCGAGTGTTGGCCTGTTGCTCTTCGCAGGCAGGACGGCCCGGGAGCGAAGCAGGACGGAGGGCGTGGAGGCGCACAGTCCACCTGGCTCATGGCGAGAGGCAGAGAGGCGCTACGGTCAGGAGGCCCCCCCGAGTGCTGCCGTTGAGGTGCCCCGTGCTCCTGGCAGGGCTCCTCACACGGTGTGGCGTTTGTCTTGGGCAGGGAGTACGCGGAGTCGGTGGGGCGGAAGGTGCGTGATCTCGGCATGATGGTGGACCTGATCTTTCTCAATTCGGAGATGTCTTTGCAGCAGGCGCTGGACGACGTGAGCCAGGGGGGGTCCGCCTTTGCCATCGTCATCACCCAGCAGCACCAAGTGCACCACTCCTGCACGGTCAACATCATGTTTGGGACCCCTCAAGGTACGCGGGCCCCGTGCGGCCGGCGCCTGCTCGGCGGGCTGCTGCAGGGCCTCCCGGAGCGGATGGCGCGGGGGGCAGGCGGCGTGTGCAGCCGCGGCCCCAGGCGCCACGCGTGTGGAGGCGCCTCAGAGGATGCTTCTGCCGCCAGCGCTCGAGATGCCCAGGGCCGCCGGGAGCTTCAGCCCGCGTGAGCTGGCCTGGGGGCTTCGGCACAGGGCAGCTTCCTTCAGCCCAGGTTCCTCCCTCAGCGTAGGGCCCTGCCCTGCCCTGCCAGCCCCCCAGGCAGCCCCCCAGGCAGCCCCCTGACTAACTCCTTTATTTCAGTGGCTGGACTTGGCGTGTCCGGTTGAAGAGGACAGAGGAGCTGAGCGCAGCCTTCTCCTCTGCAGGAGTCATAACTGAGAGGCCCACCCTAAGTTTGCCCGTTGCTGTACTGAGATTAAGGCCGCGATGGGGCTGCGCCACAGGCTCACGAGCCTCAGTGGGCAGCCTGCGAAAGGGGAAAGGATGGGGGAGAAACAGGGACACCAGCAAACGAAGGCACGGTTCTTTGTGAAATGGCATGAACAGTGCGACCGGGTAGCCCAGACGCGGAGGAAGGCGGAGGTCCCGTCCTGGCAAGGAGAACCTGGGGATTCTCTTGGCTGGGCATGGTTTTCTCTCTGACTTGCGTGTAAAGGTGACCTGCCCTTTGAGGTACCCGCAGTGGGAGAGGCGAAGGCCCGGGGCAGGGGGCCAGCAGCCTCCCCATTCCCTGGCCCTCCGCATCTCCCCTGCAGGGGGGGTTCCCCGTCTCTGCCGTCCAGCCCCCCCGGATGCCCGCGGCAGGTGCGCCGCAGGTGCGGAGCCCTGCCTGACGCCTCCTGTGTAGCAGGGGAGCGAGCTGCGGGGCCTGGGGCTGCCCGGCCCGCTCGGCGTGTCCCGCAGGCCTCACGCGTCTCCCTGCCGCCGCAGAGCACCGCAACATGCCGCAGGCAGATGCCATGGTGCTGGTGGCGAAGAACTACGAGCGCTACAAGACGGAGGTCCGGGAGAAGGAGCGCGACGAGATCGCCCGGCAGGCCGCCAAGATGGCCGACGAGACCATCCTGCAGGAGCGGGAGCGCCCCCCACCCGCCGAGGAGGGCGGGCTCCGCGGGGGCCACCCTCCCGCCATCCAGGCACTCTTGAACTTGCTGGCGGACAATCGCTACCTTACCGCCGAGGAGACAGACAAGATCATCAACTACCTGAGGGAGCGCAAAGAGCGGCAGTTGCGCGGCAGTGCCGACTCGCTGCCCGGTAGGTCGTCGGCCGGGCTGCCCTGCTGGGCGCATGGGACGGCCGCGCGTGCTGCCGCATGCCGGAGGGCCGACGGGCCCCCGGTGCTGCCTTCCCACCCCGTGGATCAGCTTCCTGGTCTGGGCGGCGGGGGGGGACGTGCGGTCCTGCAGGAGGGGCCCGGCCCCCTGGGACTCAGTCGGCGTGTCTGTTCTTTCTTTCCGGCAGCTTCGCTTCCCAGGCAGGCCCTCGGAGCACCGTCGGGGTCCTCACTGGCCAGCCTGCCCAGCGCCCAGGCGCACCAGAGCACCCAGGCGCTGCCGGCCTCTGCCTCGGCCGCGGCCGCCTCCAGTCCCCAGCAGGAGCTGCAGGCCAAGATACTCAGCCTTTTCAACAGTGGAGCCGCCGCCGCCGCAGTGGCCGCGGTCGCCAACAGCGGCTCGGCCGTGGGAGGATCGCAGACCGCTGGCTTCGGCACGGGGCCCAGCGGGACGCAGAGCCGCACCGCGGGGCTGCCTCCCTCCCAGCAGCGGGCCCAGGGCCAGGGGGCGCAGTTCCCGAGCCACGCCGGCTCCGCCCGGGGCCCGGGCCCGCGGGCCTCTGCCCCACAGCCCTCTCAGTCGCTGTACCCGAGCCGCCCCGCCGCCCCGAGCGGCACGGCCACCTCGAGGCAGGCCTCCTCCTCGGGGATCAACTTCGACAACCCCAGCGTGCAGAAGGCGCTGGACACCCTGATCCAGAGCGGCCCGGCCCTCTCGCACCTGGTGAGCCAGACCGTGGGCCAGGCCCGGGCAGTGCCCCCCGCCCAGCAGCCCCTGGGCTCCTACCAGCGCCACTACTAGGGCCGGGCAGCCCCCCCGCCCCCCCCGCCCATTCCAGCTCCCCGTGGGTTTCTGTTCCTTTGCCTTGTGTTCAAGGAGGCTGCTGCTGCGAAGCCTCTGGTGCCGAAGGCGCCCGCCCCCCCTCCCCGCCCAGGCTGCCCCGAGGAGGAGGAGCGGCTCTCGGCCAGGCCCCAGCCCAGGGCGCTCGGAGCCGGCCAGAGTGCCACGGGCAGACGTCCCTGCGTGCCGGCGAGACCCTTGCCAGGCCCTCCGGCCCAGGGGCCTCACTGGGGAGCTCACAGGCTCCCGCTGCTGCCGCAGCTGCTTCCTGAATGCCACTGCGGTTTGGCAGGGCACCTTCCTCGTTCCCCGGAGCAGCAGGGGGTGCCCTCTGTGTTGCCCGTGGACGTGTTCGGTGCTGCCGCCGCTCTCTTGGTTGACGGCGTCTTACCAGCCCTCTGGGGCACTGGTCGCCTCTTCCTTTGCAGACAGGGGCCCATGCAGAGGCTCTCTCGGGGGGAGCGCCACTCCTGGAGCTGTAGATGTTCTGTTCAATGGTTTTGTCATGTAGATACCTCTGTACTGTTAACACAACTTTTTAAGGAAAAAAATATATTGAAAAACCAGAACTGGTGTGGCTCTTTGCAGTTGCTTTGGGTACGGCAGGAGGGCTGGGGAGGCCCTGCTTGCATCGCGCGCGCGTCGTCCGTCCTGCTCCCGGTTGCCTCCAGGCACCAGGACAAGGACGACCCACATTCCCCCCTCCAGGTGCGTGTGCAGGGTGTGTTGGAGGGCCCCCAAGCCACGCCCCAGGAGGCCGCTCCAGCAGAGCTTGGTCCCGGCCGTTTTGTCGTCCTCTCTGAGCTCCAGTCTTGGAGTGGTAGAAAATGAAACAGAGCCAGGCAAACGGGCGCAGGCCGAGCCCCTCGGGCCAGTTTGCACGCTCCATCCATTTACTTAACATTCAAGAAACTCTGTTGCCAGAATGAATGGAGGTTGAGAAGAAAGTGCAAGACTGGATACTGCTGTCTCCTTGGGGCTCGTAGTGTTTATCTGCCGTCTCTAAAGCGTCAGTTCTGTGTTCTTGCACAGGTTGGTGCATGGCCTCTGTCGATGCTTCCTTGCTCAGGCTCTGCCGCCTCCCACCCCGCGCTCGCACAGGGGGAGGCGTGCAAGTGCCGAAGGAAAAGGGGACAGGAAAGAAGCGGGCCGGGCCAGCAGACACACAGGCTTGTGTAGCTCTGGGAGAGGCCGTGGCTCAGCAGAGGGGGCCCCACTGGGCAGTGAGGCGGTCTCGCCCCCATCCGTGAAGTACGGGTGGCGAAGGACGTCTTCTGGAAGCCGGGCTGTGCTGACGCAGGCTCGGCTTCTGCCCTTAATTGAACTGGCTGGAAACGTGGGGGAACACGCGGGTGTTCGGGAATGAAGTGCCAGCTTCACCTGCAGAAGAACCCGGGTGCGATTGCAAAGGGATCTTAGGACTTGGAGCAGCGGGATAGAAGCCCGAGGCCCTGGATGCTGCTCCTGCTGGGGCCGTCCACTGTCTTAGGCTCAGCCACCGGTTTATCTAGCTGCGTGACCGAATGGTGACTTGCCTCAGTATTTTGGCAACCTCACATTCATTACATCACTAAAGCCGCATTTTGATCGCAAACTGGCCAAAAATTGTTGTAGCTACCCTCTAAAAACAGCCTGGAGTACAAACTTCCCAAGCAAGAGTTTTATCAACATCAAAAGAAATTGAGAGTTGCGGGAGGGGATTATCTTTAGGGTCTTCCTCCAGGCAAGGGATCCCATAGATAAAAGAAGGTCTGTGCTCACGGGACAAAATGAACAAACTGGAAGGGTCAGGATGGAAGCTTGAGCTTAAGAAATGGTCAAGAAACGCCTAATTGCTTTGGATGACTTCAGCTCTGCAGGGCCCGATCAACAAGAATTTGGAATTATTGTAGAAAACAAGTTAAGTACGAGTCAGCAGTGCGATGCAGCTGCGAGAAAGGCAAATTCGGTTTTGGGCTACCTTAATAGAAGTATCACGTTGAAATTGCGAGAGAGACTGGTTTCCTTCAGCCCGACCCTAGGAAGGGCCCATTTTGAATCTTGCGGCCAGTTCTGGCTCCACAGTGGCAGGCAAACTGGGAAGGGCTCAGAGGAGGGCGGCAAGGATGATCCAGGGCCTGGAAGCATCCCGCTGAGGAGAGATAGAAAGGGCTGAGCGTCTTTAGCCTTGAGCAGGAAGGGCCGGTGGGTGGGGCGGTAGCTCTGTGCAAGTCCTTGACGGGCTGTCACAGAGGAAGGCCAGGATCTCTTCTCGATCATCCCAGAGTGCAGAATGCGGAGTACGGGGCACAAGTTGTCGGAAGCCAGGCTCTGGCTGAGCATCAGGAAGAACTTGCTGCCTGCTAGAGTAGTGGGGCAATGGAAGCAAAGACCCAGGGAGCTGGTGGGCTCTAACTGGAGCCCTGCACTGCACAAGGAGTTGGACCCAACAGCCTTCTGGGTCGCTTCCAGCTCTACTGATTCTGTGACTCGTCCGGTTTCTGTGGACTCTCACTGACTCCGTACAGGTGGTTCCTGCTGCGCTAGCCCCATCCTCCAGTCGCTCCTTGCCCTGGAATCAAGATCTCTGTCTGTCATGGTCCCTAAAATACAGTCTGAAGCAGATGAAGTTGCCTGGGGATGGGCCTAGCCCACGCTGTGGCCATTTTGCGGGAGGTGAGGTGCCTGAAAGCAGGTACCGGACCGGGGGCCCTGCTTGCATGTGTACAGGCCGGCTGGGTTCGGCCACAGAGTGACAACACGGAGCAAACCACCATGGCTCGCGATGTCGAGCCGTGTGAATCCGGCCAGATGGTACCAAGGTTGGTCGCCATGTAACCCTGGAGAGAAACCGTGGCCTGCGCCACACTCCCCGTGCTTCACCATGCCTTGTTCCACCATGTGAACCCAGAAACAACAGTTTGGCACGGCTTCCATGCTGCTGCCATAGCATCCCGCGGAAAGAGCTGCCAGAGGCAGCGCTCCGGCCCGCCTGGCAGCAGAAGCGCCGGCCCCAGCCCCTGGCCTGGGCCTTTGGGCTGCCCTCCGGGTGGAGGTGTGGCTGGCGGAGGGGCACTGGACGAGGCCGCCTGCGTCCTTGGCGTGGGGGCCGGGGGGGGGAGGCGGCTCCCAAGGGAGCACAGACACGTCTGCAGCGGGGGGTGGGGCAGGTCTGCTTGAGTGTTGGCACAGAGCGGGGCAGCACGGGGGGTGCTGCTGAGCCGCAGCAGTGCTGCCCTGGCGAGCGGGGAAGCCACGGCGGGGCCGAGGACACGTCTGGGGCAGTGGGCGGGCAAAGAGGGAGGCCGGCGATGTAGGCAGGGGCGCTGGACGCTGGAACTGAACTTCGGCCGTGCGGGCTGATGGGACTCCTGCTGCCGTTCGGAGGAAGGAGGGTGGGCACCGCGCGCGAATGGAAGCCACGCGGTTGCCTGAGCCCGGCAGCCAAGCAGGAGGCGTCGCCGCTCGGGAGCCGCAGTGTGGCAGTGCGGCATGCGCAGTGTTGCGGGAATGTGGCCGAAGGCCCCGCAAACGGGTGGCAAGATCCTGCGAAGGGGCCGCGGCACGTGCGAGCCGGAGCGCCCCTGCTCCTCGGGGACCGCCCAGCCCTGCAGCCGGAAAAGGCTTGCCTGCTGCTGGACCGGGGGGGGGGGGCGGAGGTCGCCAGCGGGACACGGTATCTGACCTCACAGGGAGGACCGCGATGGGCTCTGAAAGGGCACGGAGTCCAGCAGGCCCCTGCCCAGAAGCACAACCGATGACACTCCCTGGCTCCAAAGCCAATTCAGTCCCAGGAGTCTGCTGTCGCCCCCCAGGGTGACCACCCGATGGAGGATGGAATCAGGGAGGCCCCCAAGAGACGGAATCACGGGGCTCCAACTCGCCACACCTGGGTGGATCAACACATGCTGCACTTCTGCAAAGAAGGCACCCGTCTCGATGTGCTAAATGGCCGCGCCGCGGGGAACCAGTGCGGTGCCGCGGCTGAGAGCGCAAGGCCGGGGCCCCGGCGATCCGGTTCGAGTCCCCGCTCAGCCGTGGCGCTGACTGGACGGCTTCGGGCCAGCCACCGACTCAGTCCAAGCTACCTCGCAGGGGGGCAGTTGTAGGAAACGACCGAGAGCCGCAGCAGCACAGCGATGTCAGCCACTTCAAACTCTTTGAAAGAAAAAAGGTGGGATGTACATATGATAGATAGATCAATTATAATATAATATAATAATATAATCGAACAAATGAACGAACAAATGGTTGCTGCTGGAACCAGTGAGAGAGGCAACAACCCTTGAGTTAATTCTAGGTGTTGCCCAGACATACTATGTCAGTGATGGTGAACCTTTGAGACCAACGCCCAAACTGCAACCCAAAACCCACCTGTTTATTGCAAACTGCCAACACTGCAATGAAACCTGAAAACTGAGGTTTTAGTTTAGAAAAAGCAACCCGCAGCCAGTCCAAGCAAATACGCACACACACGCATGCACATATCCTTGGCAGCGCACTGACCAGCCATGCGAAAACTCGGAGGAGTTGCGGCTAATGAGTTGTGGCACGTGACATCATCGCCTGTCGCCGCTACTTCTTTCTGAGCATGCGCATGGCCCCTGTGTGTGTTGTTATCCGATGCTCGGCTCCTGGGGCGATGCTGGGGCGACTTGGCTCACATGCTGACACAGAGGGCTCTGCATTCCTGCTGTGGTACGCAGGCCATAGGTTCACCACCATTGCCCTAACCCGACTGTGGTGCACACCCCTAACCCTAATATAGGGCTGAAGTTCCATTGAAAAGGGCGATTTTGAAAAAGCCGTCCTTGAGCAGGTTTTTCTGCACAGCACATCATTTCTGCCCATTCTAAACGCATTCCAGCCAGTCCAAGCAAATATCTATGTCTGTATATATCCCTGGCATCGCACTGCCCAGCCATGCGAAAGCTCGGACGAGTTGCGGCTAATGCGTCGCGGCTTGTGACGTCATTGCCTGGCGCCACTACGCCTTTCCGACCATGCGCATGGCCCCCATGCACGCTGTTATCCGATGCTCGGCTGCTGGGGCGATGCTGGGGCGATTTGGCTTGTGGGCTGACAGAGAGGGCTCTGCGTGCCCGCTGCGGCACGCGTGCCATAGGTTCGCCGCCACAGTACTATGGGAAGTAGCTGTTGTTCAGTCAGGCATGCAGCGCTATCCGATTTAACATGCCATTAGGTAGAAAATGGCTAACGGGCTCCCACACAGTCGAGCAGGGTGGTGGTGAGGTCAAAGCCCTTCACGAGGCTCGGGCAGCACTCAAAACCTCGGCAGCGAATGCACAGAGTGTGCGTGCGAGCAAGGAGCGGGGAAAGGCAGCCCGCCGTCCAGAGGGGCTCCGGCCTGTTTGCCAAGTGCGGCCGAGGAAGCAGCCAGACCAGGGAGAGGGCGGCTTCCTTCCAGAGGTGGGAGGCTTGTCCGACTCACGAAAGGCAGGTGCGCGCAGGCGAGCAGGGAAGCCAGCATTCTGCGCAGCGCTGACTTTGAGGGTTTGGGTTGTGATACTGATGTGAGAAAAGGACATACAGAGAAAAATACGATCTTGGATGCATGTGCCTTAAAAAGTAGAAGGATTTGGACTGTCAGAAGAATTACTGCAGTCTTGGAAGGAGGAAATGTCCGGAAAGAATCTCTCAGCGAGTTTTTCTACCTGAAACATGTATCCTGCGTTCCTGGTGGCAGCGGAATGCGGGGAGGGCACAGCAGTCTTCAGATTTATTTTAACCGTATGCTTAAGTTTATATGTTTTTATGTTAGTTGTGGGTTTTTTCTTTACTTGCATTTTGGATTGAAAAAATTATAGTTTTTAAAAGCATGCTCTGATGTGAGGAGCTCCAAGGGGATCTCTGCAAGCTGGGGGAATGTTACCAAAACGGCAAATGCCGTTCAGCGTAGGCACGTGCGTAGCGATCCCACAGGGGCCAAAAGTGCCAGCTTCGCGTCTAGGCTGATGGGACCTGAGCGGGCTGCGACTGAGCAAGGGGCGGGGGCAGCAAGATGGAAAAGCCCGTCAAGTGTGTGGCTGCCATTAAATAGCCAAATTCCACGATATGCATGATTAAGAACGGAGTGAAAAACAGAACTGCCAAGCCCACGCCTCCTTTATAGAAATCCTTGAACATGAGAAAAGCAAGGCCAGGCCAGGCCAGGCATTCGGAGCGAAACTGGCGGCCCTCTGAGGGGGATGGTGTGAACTGGTGTCCTGCACCAGCAGCGGGTGGACCTGGTGACCCTCGGGGCCCTTTCCGACTCCACTAGGATTCTGCAAGTTCCATCCAGTCGGGCAAGATGAACACACGGCGGCCCCAGGACCCCTCCAGCGGGATGGGCGAGAGCCTCCGCCTGCCCAAGCCCCCAGCCCTGATGCACGCAGGCCAACCGCCTCCGGCAAAGGAAGGCTAGCAGCCACGGGGAGCCCCTTCTGCGTGAATCTGGCCCATGCCCTTTGCAAGCCACCCGGCTTGGTCGATGGTGTGGCGCTCAGGAGAGAGAAGGACGGCCTCCTCCGCACAGCGGCTGACGCAAGCCGGGATTCCCTGCCGCAGGAGGCACCGAGGGCCAGCGATTTGGTGGACTTTGACCAGGGACTGGCCAAATTCCTGCAGGAGGCGCCTACTGACGGATGCTGGCCGTGCTAGCTACAGGCTCCCTCCTTCCCCAGAGGCCGCATGCCTGCACCCCAGTTGCTGAGGAGCCGGGCAGGCAGGGCTCTTGCCCCCATCCTGCCTGGGGGATCCTGCGGGCAGCTGGTCGTGCGGTGCGTCGGACCCTTGGTGTGACCCCGCATGGCTCTTCTTGCGCCGTGGTGACCACCGAAGCCTCCCTGCTCGTGCCAAGGGGAGCTCACCTGCCACGCAGGCTCCTCGCACGAGCACGCCTCCCCTGCAGCCTGTGGCGGTGGGTGCAGGCGCCTCCAGAAGGCCCCCCCACCCGCAGGGGGTTTGCCTCCTGGCGAACTCTCAGCCCGCACTGAGAGCCTTTCCTCCTGAGGGGGCACATGCCCAGACTCCTCCCCGGGGGCCGCGGTCCTCCACGTCTGGGTGGCCCGGTGAGCGGAGTGGAGCCGAGCGCAGCCTTGCCCGGCATGGCTGGCTGTGCCGGCGCCCGGCGTGGGGGGAGCAGCCCAGCTCCCGGGACGGGCGCTCCAGCGGGCGCTTTAGCAAGAAGACGACACGGCCTGAGAGGCGAGGGAAGGTGTAATAAAATCCCTTTATTGCATTTTGTGCAGACAGGAGTCTATAAAATAAAATACAGTAGAAGCGCTGACGCAAGCGGCCGGCAGAGGAGCCACGCCCCGAGGGTCCCGGCGGCGTCGAGAGCAGCGTGGGGGCCACCCCGGCAGCCCCCGGCGGCCACGGAAACACTCGCACAAAGCAAAGGCAAGCCTCTAGCACGTGTTTGTCTGGATCGGCAACCGGGGCTATTTACAGGGAGTCAACTTACTGGCGTGTTGCACACTTTTGCCCTAGAACACAAAGCCTATGAACGAGCTCACAACAGCTATAGAAATATTGCACTGGAATCAAAGTCACCCGGATGAACAGGAAACAGATTAGCTACAGTGACCGATTATAAAGGGTGCTGGATGAGCAGACTGGCGGCAACATTCAGAACAAAGATTTCACGTGGGGCACAGAAAGAAGCGACCACCGCACTCGCCGGCCTCGGCGTCCGTCCCTCGCCTCGCCGGTCCTGCCTCAGGAGCGCCAGCGGAGCGTGGGGTCGGCAGCCCCCGCAGGCAGGGCCCCTGTCGCTCGCTCAGCCCGCATGGCGTGGCATGGCCCAGCGCGCTCGGGCCAGACACGGGCCTCGGGCTCGTTCCAAAAGGGGCCCAGGCCCTCGAGCTCCCCCTCGAGCTGCAGGCCCCCTCCCTGTGCGGCCAGCCGGCCGGAGGAGGCTCTGGAGCAGAACGACGCGACACGCGCCTGCAGTCAGGGGGCCAAGCGTGCAGGGCCAGAACGGGGCGGGATCACACGGCCTCTCCTCCACGGAGGCGGAAGGCGGTGCCGGAGGAGGAAGGGGGGCCATGCAGCGGCGGGGAGACAGCGATGCTCCGGAAACGGAGGTGCGCCGGGCCTTCCGACGGGGCCGGCAAGAGGTCCATCTTTCGTGAACAGGCGGACTGTCGAAGCGGACGGTGCATCAGCCAGCCAGGCAGGTGCCGCGGCGTGGGGAGGACGCTGGTGGAGGGGCAGCGGCCCCCCCTGCCAGATGCGTGTGTGGCACCTGCCCCCCAGCAGGCCCTGTGAGCCGCAGCAGGCGCCCCCCTCCAGTGGCCCCTGGCCTAGGTGGCCAGGCGGGGAGGGGGGGCCAAGCTGCACATCTGTGGGGTGGGGGGGGAGGCTGCAGCTCAGCAGACTGCGCTCGGTCCATGGGGTGAAATCGGTGCGGTGCTTCTGGCCCTGTTCCCTGATGAGACCCTGAAGAAGCTGCGTGGGAACGCGCACGGAGGGCCCGCACCGGCCCTGCGCCCCGGCATGCGCCCCGTCTGCGGGGACGCGGGGGGCTGGTGCTTCTGGACACGCTCTGCTCTGGCCCACGGCCCACGGCCGGGCTCGGAAGGGCCCCCGACCTGCGCAGCCACAGCCCCCGGGGCTCCCGGCACATGCCGAGAGAGCGCTCTCTGCATATAGACTTCCTCTGGTTTCTGTTCACATAAATATGACCACTTTAAAAATACCATGTCCTGTGCTATGTACATATATTTACAGGCCCGGGGTGGGGGCAGCATCCAACGGTTTCTGAGAACTATTCACATTGGTTAAAAGCTCCACTTTTTTTCTTTTTGGGCAGAAAAGGGGGAGGGGAGGGGGAGGGGAGGGTCCCAAGAGGCACGCACGCAATCACATTTTGGTATCTGAAGGAGGCGAGGCGTACAGCTCGGCTGGGTCGGGGGAGACCGAGGGCCAGCGGCCGGGTGGGCGGGGGGCCTTCCCCAGGCCTTCTGGGGCAAGAGGAGGCGGCGGCGCATCTGGCCAGGTGCCCCGGGACCCCTGGGACCCGCGCCCCGGCCCCCCCCCCTCAGCCTGACGGCATCGCTCAGCCCGAGCCCAGGTCCAGAAGACCCGGTCCTAAAGTGCAAAGGGGCGGCGGAGCAGACGAGGTCCCAGGCCGGCCCGAGCGGGAACGGGCAGCCAACGGCCCAGGGCCGACCTTGCTCGATCCAGTACCGGCCCCGTTCCCACGACCGGGGCGCGTGCGCGGGAGAGGACGAGGGAGAGCGCTCAGGCCGCGGGAGACAAAGTGCAAAACGGCGGAAGAAGGTGCGCTGCGAGGCGGCAGCGGGGAAAGCGCTTCCAGCAGCCCTTCTCTCGAGGAGGCCGCGGGCGGGGCGCTGCCGCACCGGCGGGGACGAGCCCACGGCCGGG